CTTTCAAGCGACGCAGAAGAGCGGTCTGATGGTTGCGGTTCGACACAATACTGCGTGCAGATCCGCTAGATACATATCTAGCACGTGAATTGACTATTGGCTGTGGTGGAGAGCGCTTGACAGAGTTTCGGCTCACTAGCTGGAAGCGCCCTAGCTTGCACAGGTAATTTCGACTTCCCACGACGCCATGGAGCTCTCGTGGAGACGAACCTGTGGCCGTCGATGGCGCAATTCAAGTGCACAATCGGAAGTGGGGAGCGAAGGGAGAACTTCCCGAGTATCCCGCCTGCTCGAGAGTCGCGGTCTTTGAGAGACGTTGATGTCAGAGACCGATATCTGGAAGCTTCGTGGTGCAGCGGATGCAGTTAGAGCGTGCCAAGATTTCAGTGAAAGCAGATGTCGTACAGTAACTCCATCTTGCTGGGAGTCGGATGCGATCTGAGATGCCAAGTACTACAACTCGCTTCACGATGCATGAGATGCAATGCTCCACGTTCACGATGCTCGCGTGTGAAATGTCGAAGCTTCTTCCTGGGCAAGGCTGGAGCTCCAAGCTCGGCTCAGCGGTCCATGCATAACCTGATCCCCGCAAACATCAACCCCACAAACCGTCTGACAGCTATGCACGTCATGTCCTACCTCTGAATGCAACCCTGAGTCGCATACTACATCCACGCAGACTATCGCCATGACCTCAAAGTTCTTCTGCCTCCGTTCAGCGCGTCTCGCTGCGCGTTACCCGTGCCCGCGACGAACATTTGCTTCAGCCGCCTCTAGCCGCGCAGACCACGTTCGCATTGTGGAAGTCGGGCCACGCGATGGGTTGCAGAATGAGAAGCAGACGATACCGCTGGCGACCAAGATAGAGCTGATTGAGAGGCTGGCCAAGACTGGTCTGACCACCATTGAGGCAGGCTCCTTCGTCTCGCCCAAATGGGTACCACAGGTAAGCCACGGTTGTTGAAGCTGAGGACATGCGCTGACCACCAAGACAGATGGCCAATTCGGCTGAGATCCTCGAACACGTCCTCTCTCGAACGCCCCAATCACCGCATCCGATCACGTACCAATGGCTCCTTCCGAACGTCAAGGGCTTCGACAACTTCCTCTCCATGTGGCAGTCCAAGTCGCAGTCAGGACAAGACGCATACCCAACACCTCCACCATCCCCAGGCACGGACAACGGACCAGCCCTAAACACCTCCTCCTCAGACCCCAACGCCATGCCCTCCGCCTCCTCCGGCGCTGAAGCCATGAACGCGAGCCGCGACGCCCAAGCCCCCATCCACGAACTCTCCATCTTCACCGCCGCGACCGAATCCTTCACACAAAAGAACACAAACTGCTCCATCGCCGAGTCGCTACAACGCTTTGAGCCCATCATGTCAAAGGCAAAGGAGATGGACCTCAAAGTGCGGGCCTACATTTCCGTCGCCCTCGGCTGTCCTTATGAAGGCCCGGATGTCAACCCACACAAGGTCGCAGAGCTAGCAGTGAGCTTACTAGAAATGGGCGCAGACGAGATATCAGTCGCAGACACCACGGGCATGGGCACCGCACCGAAGACCCTCGAGCTACTCAAGACGTTGAACGCCGCTGGTGTGAACAAGGATGACCTAGCACTCCACTTCCACGACACATATGGTCAAGCGCTTGTCAACTCCGTCGTTGCTCTCGAACACGGTATTCGTACGTTTGACGCGGCGGTGGGTGGGCTGGGTGGTTGTCCGTTCAGTCCTGGTGCGACGGGGAATGTTGCGACGGAGGACTTGGTGCATTGCTTCCATAGCTTGGGCGCGAAGACGGGGGTTGATCTCGAGGGGCTGGCCGAGGTGGGCGAGTGGATATCGAAGGAGTTGGGTCGGGGCAATGATAGTAGGGCGGGCAAGGCGACGTTGTCGAGGTTGAGAAAGGCGAGGGCGTAAAGGGATTGGAATGAGAGTTTTGTGTTCAAGTCGGACTCTTGATTGAGGATGCCTGATTATCTTGATGCAGACTCATGATAGTGGGCCTGCACAATGATTCCGAGTACGCTTGTTCGATTCGCCGGAGACTTCGAATCGAACAAGCCTACTCGGAATGACTGTGGGGTCTCACTATCGTGAGTCTGCATCTGCTTTCTGCCTTTCCGTTCGAAGCGGAGAACAGTCTCAAAGTGTCAAGACCAAGTTAATGGATCAACGTTTCAAATTGACAGCCTGCAGATTTAAATGTTGAGGATAAATCATGCTAGATTAGATTTAGTAGTAGTTGCTGCTGTATGGACTTGTCCGAGATAGCGATGGTATCGAGATGTGTCCACCTAGGATTCTAGTGCCAGTGACAGGCCGTACAATGTGCTCCTCGGTCGTCCCTTCCTCATATACGCCGCGCTACTGATGGTGCAATTCGGACAGTAGGGCTGTGAAGATGAAGGTGAGTCGGTTCACACTAAACAAAAGTTCGTACGCGATATTCCCAATTCACAGGTACAGAAGACTGGAGCCTATTTTCTTGACTATAGTGCGCTGTGTTGCGAGAAATCTAGTGGTCATCAAACGCTCATTCCTCACTTGCACTGCGCTAGTAACGAGGCAACTGTGCCCCAGGGCTATTTATTCGCGACCACACTTGCCCACCTAACCCGTCACTCATAGACCTGCTTTCCAACTCCAATACGACTACGCCTACTCGCTATCACTTTATTACACTCAATACCTTTCAAGGCTACACTACCTTTGACCTCTCTCGCTGGTACGTACAGTTCTGCGCTCACGCAGGCGTCGCACCTTCCTCTACTTCTCGTACTAACTGAACGGTAGCAGTAGTCATGGCGACCAACCTTCCCAGTCTACCGATAGAGCTCCTTCTCAGTATCATATGCTGTGCGGAGACTCGCTCTAGCCGTCGCAAGCTATGCGAAGCCCTTCGTCTAACATGCAAACAGCTCGATAGCAAGATCATGCGGTACTTTGGTAACAACTACTACAAGCGAATCAAACTACCGTTCAGCGAGACAGGACTCAACCGATTGCTGCGCATCTCAAGGGGACCACTAGCTCACCATATCGAGTCTGTGACTATCAAATGTGGTACCGTCCATCCATTCCAGGACGTATGCATACAGAAGGACCCAAATTCACTATTGGACGAGAACATTAGCAAATGGCTAAAGGATGGTGATTGTGCATAAATCCTCGCGTCTGCTTTGTCTAAGCTACCGAATCTAAGTGGGTTTCACATCAGGGAGACTGGCTACAATTTCAGGGTCTATGAACGGGAGCAACTCGAGCTACTATGGAATTACTGGGCTACAACATTGAGAACTCTGCTAGCAACAGCAATTCCTACTATCCAGTCTCTCGAGGAGTTATCCATATGCGCCAACAGCACTATCATGGCAGCTGCTCCCTCTCACCTGGGAGACATCATCACCTTCACGAATCAACTTGGAAAGCTTCGAATGCTTCAGATAGACATGGTACTCGGCACTGGCAAAGGTATGTCCAAGATTGGAGCTCATACAGCCGCTCAGCACTGAATGGTTACAGATAATGATGCTGGAGATATTTGCAATCTTTGCAGCCTGGTCCGAGCCGCCGGAGGATTGGATGATCTACACATCGGATTTGGAGGTACAAGTCACTGCGACAAATTCTTCGAATCCATGAATCAGTCCTTGAACCTACCCGCGCTGCGTCGGCTATCCTTGTCTAATCTGAAAACGACACAGACTCAGCTCGAAGACTGTTTACGCCCTATTAAAGATACTTTGAGGATCCTGTGCTTGGAGGAGGTATGGACCTACAAGGCCACCTGGCCTGTCGGGATCGTACATTTTATTAGGGGAGAACTAAATCTGGAAGAGGTCACCTTACGAAAACTCAGCTTCGGCGACTTAGGCCTCCACTTGAGGAGGTTCCACCAACTTCGTCCAAGTATCGTGCAACATGGCTATGGCTATGATCCACAACTGGAGGATGAAGGGTGGGCATATGTTGATTGGGAAAACCGTTGTTCAGCTGAGGTTATCCTCAAGTATAAAGAGGGTGATGACATCAAGTATTGGCTCAGAATGATTGAAGAAGACTACAGGTTGAAAGGAAAATGGGATTTTGACGTTGGAAGACGGAGGATTGTGGGTACTACTGATACTAGTAAGTATTGAACTTCATGGTTATTCTAGCCTGTATCATACATGGAGCAGTCCAAGCGGCCGGCAAACGATAGGATTCAAGCATATGGCTCAAATGCCAGGTTATCAAACGATCAGTGCATCTCCTATAACAAAGCGTTTTACGATCAATCGCTTGCAAGACCCAGCTCAGGAAGACCGACCCGATTACAAATCCCTTTCGGCCTGACACGGCACACGTCCCTAAGATGAACCAAGAACGTCTCTCTAGTAAAAACTTCTCGCTTTATCGTCGTGCCCAAGCAGCACAAGCAGTAGAACTTCTTCTCCGCCGCCAACGGCAAGGTGTCAATCGCCGGAGCCCAGACAGAGCACATACCCATGACCGTCCTCTTCGGTACAACATCCACAGCTGTGCGGCGATAGCCAGTCTGAAACTGCGCCTTCATTTCGCGAAGGAAGACGCAACGCTTGAGCCAATATTTACTATATCGCTCACGGCCAGTGTCGCGCGGGATTTGTGCCCGATGGGGATACATCTCATCGACGTAATCCCAATCGTACATGTTCTCCTCTGCCTTGATCCAGAATCTGTTCAACCCGTTCGTCAACGTGGCGGGTAAAACCCGGAAATGGGGCACCAGGCTCAGGTTCTCATAGCCTGTGTTGCTGAGGTAGCGGGTACGGACTACGGCCTTTTTACTCGCGGGCCGCCGGTGGCTTTTTTCTAGACAGGAAAGGCAGAGGCGCGTGCATGTGGGTAGGTAGACTATTTCTGCTAACCTTCCACAACACTTGTCCCCACTCTTTTTAAACGAGCAGCGTCGGTTCTGGAGCGTGCGAAACAACATCCTCGGTGTAATATGCGCTGTATTCCGTATCGCGATCATTCCCTTCACAGTATTTGGCGCCCATTTCAACGCGTACCGTAGAGGCGATTCGGTGTCGACGAGGTGCATGGCGAAGCGGCAGCAGCGTCGGAAACGCATCGTGTCTCTGATGGTAAGATCTTCGATGATCTTGAGGAGGATTTCTGTGGGGAAAATTTCAAGAGACCCGCAGACACGGTTTTTGGGTAATGGGTCTCTGAGAGCGGAGATTGGTGACATGCGGTCTATGAGGCCGTCGAGGATGAGACGTGGTTTTTTGGGCTCGAGAATGTAAGTGAGGGTTTCGATGGGTATGTCTTGGAGAGATGACATCGTGGCTGCTGGCACTGCGCAAGCGCTACTATGATGGGCCGCGAGTTCTTTTCTTTCGGAAGAGGCTAAGAGGGTTGTAGAAAGAGATTACGGCGCAGGTTGCTCGTACGTGTTGTCGTGTGCGATTGGGGTGAAGTGTACAGCGTGTGGGACGATGGAAGATAATCTGAACAGTTCTATGACCAACAGAATATATACTCGGCTCTAATTCACACTGTCACCGTGTGCTTGTGATGGCAAAACTATACCGTGGTTACCATCCACTTCATCCCGTGGTACGGCCATGACACCTTAACAACGAGCCACACATGACTTCTGCAACCAATACCACACGTAATACAAGATACTCGTTGGCTACATAAGCCGTATGTATCGAGAAGGAGGAATGGCTTTATGTCGTATACTGGTTTCGTAGTTCTGAGCTCCACTGGCTGGTAACAAATCCAAGTCCAGATATGAGATTGAGCATGGTCGGTGTGCAACAAACTGCGACGCAGATCCTAGCTACACCTGAGGTGAAGATGGTCTTAGAAACGGTTCGACTATCGAGACTTGACAGTGTGTGTGTGCAGCAAAATGTGAGAGAATAGGAAGATGAAGATAATAATCGTCGGCTTTAGTTCGAGAACCAATATGGTACGTGAGGGAAAAAATGTTCAGGATACTCCAACATGATTAGTAAGACCCTGTTCCTTCCGATGCGCCGTTGTATTCGTCCCAGATGGTTTGATGTCGACCATGAAGATTATCTCGGCGCTTTCTATGCTTGACTTGTCTTCACCCGATTCCCCACCTTATAAGTAGACCAGTATCAAGAGAACGAGCTATTACGTCTCTAGACCCTGTTCCTAAAGACTCCTGCGCATTGTCATCGCACCCCGCCACTCTTAACACTGTCTCTTTACGAAGAGCCGCAAATCTTGTATCAGGCCAGCAAACGACAAGAAAGTTATGTTGAATATACACGCCGCTGCTAAGGCGAGCAAGGGACGGATATGGTTTCAGGGTATAAGAAAATATGTATCAAGGTCCTCTCCATTGTCAGACTGATGTTGTCGTGTGAGACCAGCGACGTGTAGTTAGCAGAGAAACTTAGTATGAAGCAGGGACATGTTCCGGCCCATGCGTGCTTGAACTCATGTGAAATATTAAGCTGGTATCAATAACGGGGACGTTCATGATATTTCCAAGCACCAATTTCATTGCATACCATTGCGACTCTTGCAACCACTCCACCCAATTCATCTCGCTCTGGTGTCTTCGAGGACAGCGCTCGATCGTCATCACAGCCACGGCACCGCCGACGATCATCGGTAGCAGCCACGACGTCACGCACTGCCACCAATGCCTGATCGCCGGCTAAGGTAATTTCGTGGGGAAGGTAGCGTGCGGCTGCGGAGGGTCCTCCGCATCATAGCAGATAGGGGAAAAGCAACTGCCGCAGCTAAAACGATCACGATCAGGCTGAGTTCAGGTTTTGCTAGTCTGGTTACACAGCACCGCGAGCATTAGACACATAACGGCGCTGCGTACCACTACCGGATCAGACGGATCCGAGATCAACGAACCACGACGGCTTATGCGAACGCGAAAGAAAAAGAAAAGAAGAGCGTGCGTGATGCGGGAACGCTGGGCGTGTGGGCGATGGAACGGTGGAACACATTTGTGTTTCTTTCATGTGACAGTTGAAACATTGGAATATCGAAACTTGAAATGGACATGACTTCGAGGAGGGTCTGGAACGTGTGCAGGGAGTTACCCGCCCATGTGCATTGTGCCTGTCAGACTGTGGCTTGCCTCGCATCCAGTCGCAGCCACGTCGACGAATTCATCCAAAGAACCCTGGAAAACCACCAACACTCTCATCTGCCAAGTTTGCGCTTGAGATCATCTTGCTTGTGGCAGCATCATAGCAAGCTCCGAATTTGAGTTTCTTTCGTCGGCGAAACCCTCGGTCGGGGCGCAGTCCAGGACGCTGTTTGGTCGATTCAGGGCACAAGTTTGATGAGATAGGTCGGTGAAAAAAATGACGTGTGGTCGATGGCAGAGTAAAAGCAGGGTTCAAAAAGCGGGCTAGTGGGTAGCGTGGCTGACGCACGGGGCGGGATCGACAGCGAACTTTGACGGAACAAGGCAGGCACGACGACGCCAATGCTGCATCATGGAAAGCGAGTTGCAAGGCTGCGTCATCGCCCAGGGCAGTATCGAAACGGGCAGAGACACATAAATCCTTTTCGCTCCCCCTGTGGCTGGCGAGTATTCACAGTCTAACATCACAACAACATACACCTTGAGCATCGCCCTTCTCGTCACCTCTCCGATCCTAGCACCTCTCTCATCTACCTCGACTCTTAATTGCGACAATGGGTTTCGGCGGTGCTGCTTTGAAGCTGGGCTCTACAGCGCTGTATGCGCTTGAGTTCTGCTGTGCCGCGATTATCCTCGGTATCTACAGTTACTTCCTGTCTGTAGAAGCGGACCGCGATGTCAACATCCCCGTCTGGCAACAGGCCGTTACCGGTCTCGCTGGTGCGACTGTGCTATACACCATCTTCGCAGTCCTGTTGACTTGCTTCCTTGGCGGAAAGGTAAGACAGCCCCTTGGCGATATAAATACCAATACATACTAATGCCATCTCCAGAAAATCTTTGCTTTCCTCGGCATACTCCTCGACATCCTCTGCTGCGGTGCCATGATCGCCGTCGCCGTCCTGACCCGCGATGGCGCATCCAAGTGCTCCGGCCGCGTGCAGACACCCCTCGGTGACGGACCCGCCAACTCCAAGGAAGGCTTCGGTTCCAACGGCCGCGGCGACCAGATCACCTACTCCGCCTCGCTCGGCACGATCTGCAAGCTCAACACCGCCTGCTTCGCCGTCGCCATCATCGGCGCCTTCCTCTTCCTGCTCAGCGCCCTCGTCCAGGTCTTCCTCATGAAGCACCACAAGAAGGAGAAGGCGTTCGGTCCCGGCCCCAGCAACGGCTACACCAAGGGCTCCGGCATGAAGTTCTGGCAGCGCCGCAAGGCTAACCGCACCACTGGCCACCACGACCCTGAAGTCGGTACCGTCCCTGCTACTACCGCTGGTGGCCTCGCTGTCCCTGCTGGCACTCACGACTACCGCCCCAGCCACGACACCGCTTACACCGGCTCCACAGTTGCTGCCCCCCACACTGGTTTCGCGACTGACAAGCCCGTGACCGGTGGATACCACACTGCTCCTCACGTTGCTCCTACTGCCAACTACGCCAATAACGGTAACACCGCTACCTACGGCTCAGCCACCAACTACTAAGCCATTACACCCTATCCTCATGAGAAGATGAGATTGGCGATGCTCTAGATTGAGTAAGGTCTATGCTTATAAGCATGACCACTTTTCCTTACTACTTGTACTCTATTACGACGTTTACGCATTATACCACACACGGAGAGGAGGGAGTTGAATACTCGAGATGAGATGAGCTCGTATGATTTGGATACGAAACTTAATACCTAATGTCAATATCGAAGAAATATATATGATCTAAAACACTACTGTACCTCGTTGATGCTGCCGGTGTCGTGTCCTTGGCACATATCCTCGTTGTCGACGAAACAGTTGAGCACGACCAGCGATAAAGTACATGGCGAACTATCCGAACGAACATAAATGCACAATACTGTGTCGCCGGCATTCACAGATGTAAACAAGCTTTACACGTAGTTGTAAACCAGCGGTGAACTGGGACAACACGCATGATCGACATGTAGCCGCCGAGAGTATTGAATAGACCACTAGTTCGGGCCCTCACGAACCTTATGCATTGCGCCCCGCTCAGGGAATGCTTGTCGACAATTCCCTACCAACCGACCCCACTCGACACAATAAGCATTGACGAGTTGTAATAACTCAATCACAGGTACCGCGTGAGGCTCGCAGACAAGGCTCGCAAACGAATAGCAAAAAGATGGTTCAAGTGGCAAAAACATACAGCCTCCTTTTTGCCATCCAATGCAAAAAAAGTCCAAAAACATACAACAGCGGGGATTCCCCGGTGGTCACCCACCCGAGTACTAATCCGCCGGTATCTTGCTTGTATATGGCTGAGCGGACGGGAAGCCTAATTCTCAAGATCCTGTGGTCGTATGTGGAAGACATGCTCGTCGTGGGAGTAAATATTGACGGTGGACGACGAGCGAAAGACTGTTCGTCTAATGCTTCCCGGCAGCTAAGCTTGTATAAAGCTGATCGCACTGCGTTATTAGTAACAAAGGTTTTAATAGCTCTTAGCTTGCAACATCGTTTAGCATGTACATAGAAGTTGTTGCCTTTTATTAATTGCATAAGGCATGCTTGTCGACTATCTTCCGCTAGTTAACCCTACTTAACAAGACGAGCAACAGTAATATAAAAGAACAAGTAACATGCTACACTCTACAATTTGTTTACCCGAGCCCCCAAAGTCTTCTTAGGTCTGCTGCTCTACCAGAGGTTGTCCAGCCAATCTCCTGCTCTATCTTGGATAGGTGTCTCAACAGCGCGAGCTTCTCTGCCGCATACTTCACATCGTTTGCAATGTCGCTCTCATTCAGTCGTGGTGGGACACCTTGCTGCTTAGTCGAGCTATAGCCGAATACCTGCCCAGCAATGTAAAGAGGCTGTAAGTGATTGCCCCAGTTGGCATGCGATGGATTCGCTAAGCTGATCCCACAGAGCTCTTTGGCATGCCAGATTGGATTATACCTCTCTGTCTCAGCGTGCATCTCGTCCTGATGTACATCTCCCGTCCGTAGCAACAGAATGGACCCGGCATGGTAGAAAGTGTTGCCGCAAACCGACGAGTTGCTGGTATATAGAACAGTCGGAAATGGGTTCCCTTGATGTGCCTCTGTTCTGATGAGAGAAAGAACTTGCCTCGGACGATGAATTCGCCAATCTTGTAGTTCACGCCACAATGCGTTAATAGTAGACGGGCTGTCAGATAAGTGTCCTTGTTGTTTCCGGCTCATTGCAATG